GATGAACCCTCAGATTTATCTTTTTCCTTTGGTGCTTCCTCCTGTAGCTCTTTATCAGCTTGACTGGTTGTGGGAGGTGAATCTTCCTTTGGTTTTCCCCAGAATTATCTTCTATATTAATTTGTGTACCGCTTCGGAGAGTTAGCACATTGCATTGTTCTTTGCTATGAGGTTTGGTGACTTCAGTGTCACTTGGAAAATGTCCGGGTTTGCGTTCTTGTAATGCCGCGGTAATCTGACCTACTTGACTCTCTAGTGCCCTTAACGATGAACTTTGGCTCTGGAGTAGAGCTCCTTGATTTTTTATAGAGGTCGAGTGGTCTTGCAGCATTGTTTTTGTTGTTGCAATGAATTCTTGCATTGTGGCCTCCAAAGAACTAGTATTTAATGAAGATGGCCCTCCCTTGTTTTGATTATGCCATGGCATATTCGATTGATAGCCTTGGGAATCATTAAAATTCTGCTGACGAGCTGGCTGTTGAGCAGTGTTGTTTCCTTGATTTTCCCAAGAAAAATTTGGATGCTGACGCCATCCAGGATTATAGGTGTTCGAATAGGGGTTGTTATTGCCTCGATTAAAATTGCCAACAAAGTTGATGGATTCTTGATTGGTTGGGCAATTACTCTCATTGTGATTGCCTTGGCATAATAAACAAACTGAACAGGCTGCCTTTGCTTCCCTTACCTCACTTGGCCTTTGTAAATTCTTTAGCATGTTGGTAATGGTAGCAAGTTGGGCTGACACGGCATCATTAGAATCTAGCTCGAGAGCTCCATGTGTCTTACGCCCAAACCCATGCTTAGTTGAGGGAAACTGATAATCATTGGTAGCAATCCTATCCAAGATGTCAAATGCCTCTGCTGGTGATTTATCCAGTAACGTCCCATTTACCGAGGCATCAAGCATCATCCTCGTGGGTGCGTTTACCCCATTATAGAACATCACTACTTGTGTCCAATCTTGAAAACCATGGTTTGAACACTTGCGAAGCAATGCTTTGTATCTATCCCAGCACTCATGCATCGACTCGTCATCAGCTTGACGGAATGAAGCAATATCATTCCTAAGTTGGGTGTTCATGTTCGGAGGATTATACCGCAGCAAAAAATATTTGCACAAATCTGTCCACGACTCCATAGAACCCGCTGGAACTCCACTCAACCATGCCCTTGCTCTGTCTCGTAGGGAATATGGGAATAGCTTTAATTTCAGAACATCTTCGTGCACCCCTTGTTGGCGAAAAGAATCGCACACTTCCAAGAAGTTACGAATATGATGCCTGGCATCTTCATTTGGCATGCCCCCAAACTGCCCTATAGAGTTTAACATGTTGAACATGACAGGTTTCAGCTCGAAATGGGCTGCCTGAATATCGGGTGCCACAATTCCAGGGTTGAGATCCTCTAAGATTGGATTTAAATGATCACGAATAGCCCGAGGCCTAACTGCATTCCCAGCATTTGGATTTGCCTCGGCATGTTGATCACCCTCATGGCCAATGCCCTGATTTCCGAGTTGGTACATATTGACACGTTGTGCTCGTCTTCTTTGTCTAAAGAGCCTTTCAATTTCAGGATCAATAGGTTCCAATAGCTCTTCAGGGCTTCTGGTCATAAACTCGAAAAAATATGAAAAATTAAAGAAAATATAAAGTAAAGATAACTAAAAGAGAAAAATTTACACAAGTAATATAAAAATGCTATGACAAATCAATTTAACTTCCAGTTGCAATGTCCCCGGCAACGGCGCCAAAAACTTGTCCGCTGTTTGTGAGTACTAAAATATGATGCGGATATGTGTGCAAGTATACACAATCAAACAAGTAATAAAGTGATAAGTAGAGTATCGTCTCCACAGGGAATTGGGGAAATCAAATAGGTTTGTCTAGGCACTTTACTTTGTCACCTAAGTAAAGTTAGTTATGATATATACAGATGAGAATGCAGTGGCAAAATGGAATGGACGTAGTGGAAATTGAGTGGTAATAGTGTAGTAGCAGATGGATATGTCGTGGCAAATTAAATTGTGATACGTGAAAACAAATGGAAATGTCAAGGCAAAATAAAAATGCAAATACTAGATTTAATATATGTAGGACTTTAGCTTTCTCACAAGACAAGCAGCAATGGAAATGAGTGATGGGAGACACAAGGAAAACTTAAGTCTATTTCTCTGAATGGTGCTTCTTCTATGCTTACCTTTCCCGACAGAGTCTACTGATGTGCCCTATGCTATCTCTAGTAAGGGACTCGACAGACTAAAGATGCCCTAGCAAAACCGATTGGCGTAAGCCCAAGCAGTGATCCTATTGACTCAGCTAATAGAATATGTCTCGGTAATACCTTTTTGCGACAGCATTAACATCTAACCTATCGTTTATACACAACTCCTTTTAGTCGAATGAAATTCTATCCTTATCTCTAAGGTGGATTAGGCCTAGTTACTATCTAGAACCCATTGTTTATGTAGTTCCTCCCTAGCTTCTCTCGAAGACTAAAGATAAATTGCCAAGTCATTCTCTCGAACCTCATGAACCCTCCTAAGGAAAGGCTACTCTCGTAGCTCCTACAACCTTAAGGCTTTAAGTCTCACAAACAAAACAGAATAAAGCATGAAATAACAATCATTCATTAAAACAAAAACTTAAACATCCATGCGAACTCCCACCAAATAGGATTAGTTCATTGTGGGGTTCGAAATCAACAAGCACAAAGCAAGATTCATTCGTTCCTTACAACTCAATCAACAAAATATGAAAACAAGTACTAAGGGGAGGAGAAAAAGCCTTCGACGTGCACTGCCTAATGCTTCCCTCTGCCACCACGAGCTGCTCCTAGCGGACTGGCTCCTCTTGGATGCTCAGAACGCCACTCCCTTCAGCTTGTCAAGGAGAAATGCCACGACAAGTGGGATTGACAGAGAAATGTAAGACTTTCTCTCTCTAACTTTTTAAGATCAAATGTGGCTGGAACTAAAGTCCTTCTCAATATGGCTTCCTCCTCTATTTATAGGGGAAAAGAAATCCTAAGGTTTGGTGTTAACCATCCTAGGAAACCCTAAAACCATAGTTGAGTTGCTTGGGAGTCGAGCATACTGCATAATCCCACTACAGGCGCCCTAGGACTGACAGGATCTGCAGGGTCAGACTAGGCAACGTCATCAATAGAACCGGTGGTTGAAGCGTCATGCTGCGGTGGGTATCTCGGGCAGAGCATGCGTAAAATCCGGGACAGCTGGCTAGAAAATATCTTCTTTCTCCTTGTACGCTCCTGAAATGCCATTTGCACTTGGCATTTTTATTTAGCTCAGCAATATCCTTATGTCACGGCATTTTAAATCCTCTTTTCCTTGCTTTCAACACCTGCACATCATCAGACAAGTACCTTTCCCATAAAGCAGCACCGCTGTAAAAATAAAATGCCACGGCAAACTGAAATCCACCACATGCAACTATATGCTCCTAAATGCATCTAAATGGTTCTAAATGGTCTTTTAGACATTCAATAACTTAAGTAAAAAGGTACAAAAATATGACTTTTTACGGAGTTATCACCAAGCAAGCTTGAGGATCCGCACACGGAGGGAATTGCCTCTCAAGTTATCAATCAGCCAGTTGAGGCGATCATCCCAACTGAGCATATCAGATCGAAAACCACATGAGCTAAGAACAACATTCCATACTTCCCTGGAGAAAGGACAGTCTGAAAACAGATGGTCCCGGGACTCCAAACCACTCCCACACACAACACAACCAGCATCCATAGTCAATCCAAACCAAATCAGCCTATCCTTGGTAGAAAGTCTATCAAGGATAGCCATCCAGGAAATAAGGGAAAATTTAGGAATATGGGCAGGGAACCAAATGATCTTGTGCCATCTGACCTTATCCCTGCAAATCCGAACCTTATCCCAAATCCACTTGCCTCTAACTAGGTTCCAGTCAACAGAAGGCAAAAACATACACCTCGCCACCTCCCTAAGCTTCAAAAGCTTCTTTAGAATCCAGCTAAAGTGGGCTCGAACTTCAGCCTCCCAGAAGCTCACTGTTTTGAAACAATATTCTTGGATCCAGGCAATCCAAAGAGAGCCTTCATTTGCCAAAATATTTCTAATGAGCATCAGGCAACAGCCTTTACTCCACAGGGCAAGGTCCCTAAGACCAAGGCCTCCCTCAGAATTCAAGGAACAAACCTTATGCCAGCCAACACGAACACCTCTGGTAGGGGTATCACAACATTTCCAAAAAAATCTCATGCAAAGTCTCTCAATGTCACTGATGATGCCCTTAGGGAGGATGAGCTGTCTGCTCCAATAGTTAAAAATGCTAAATAAAACAGTTTTAACCAATTGCAACCTACCCCCAAAGCTTAAATTCTTGTTGGACTATTGTCTCAGTTTGCCTTTAACCCTCTCCAGCAGGGCAGAACAGTCTCTCCCTGTCAACTTACGAGTAACAAGGGGTACTCCAAGGTACCTAACAGGGAGGTAAGCCAGCCTAAACCCAATAGCTGACTGAATCAAATCAAGGGCATAATTATTCAAGCCACAGGCAAAAAATTCAATTTTCATAGCATTCAAATTAAGTCCAGAAATGTCATAGAAAAGCTCTAGGGTACTTTGCACACCCAATAAAGACTCAAGGGACCCATGACAGAAAACTAACAAGTCATCAACAAAGCTAAGATGAGTGAGAGGAATTCTTTTACATTTAGGGTGATATCTGAAAACCCCTTGCATGGCAGAAACGTTCAGTATAGAAGATACACATTCATCACTATGACAAAAAGATAAGGGGAGAGAGGGTCCCCTTGCCTGATCCCCCTAGCCCCCCTAAAATACCCCACCAAACTACCATTAAGACAAACAGAAAATATGAGAGTGGTAATGCAGGCCTTAACCCAGTTACAAAAAACATCAGGTATCCCCATAGCCCCCAAAACAGAAAGCAGAAAGTCCCAATTAACAGAGTCAAAAGCCTTATGTAGATCAATTTTAACTGCACATCTAGGAGAAAGACTCTTCCTAGAGTATCCTTTCACAATCTCCTGGGCCAAAAGAGTATTATCAACAATATTCCTCCCCTTGACAAAAGCTGACTGGTTATGGGATATCATATCAGGGAAGTAAGGAGTGAGTCTGTTAACCAATATTCTAGTGATAGTCTTGTAGACTACTGAACAGCAAGAGATAGGTCTAAATTCCTTAGCCAAGCTAGCATTAAGGGACTTAGGGATCAAGACCAAGGCAGTGGCATTAAATGCAGACAGTAAACAAGAGGTTTGGAAAAAATACCTCACAGCAGAAGTGAAGTCACAGCCAATAATGTCCCAGGCAGATTTGAAGAAACCAGTAGTGAAGCCATCAGGGCCAGGACTCTTGTCTTTACCTTGTCTAAATAGGGCATCTTTGATCTCATTATCACTAACCACCTAAGAGAGGAGGCAGCACCATCAGGAAGGTTGTATCTTAGCAAGTCCCTCAGAGTTTCAACAGAACAGCCTTTGACAAGAGGATCAGGAGAGCCAATGAGACTAGAAAAATAACCTACTAGCTCAGCTGATATTCCTTCAAAAGATTCATAAATCTGCCCATCCTCACTTTTAATGACCCTTATAGTGTTCTTCTTTTTATTAGCTTGTACCCTCTGGTAGAAAAACTTTGTGTTCAAGTCACCCTCTCTAAGCCAGTGCACCTTAGCCTGCTGTCTGTAAAAATCAGATTCTGCAACTTCCAGGTCAACAAGCTCAGCATGAATTCTTCTCTCATCATCAATCCTCCTCTGACTTGAGTGAGCAAGGTTAAAGATCTGGAGATGCTCCAGTTCAGCCCTTTTAAGTCTTACTCTACCAGAAATATCAGGAAAAAACTGCTTATTAAACTCCCTGAGCAAAGGTTTAAGTCTCCTTAACTTGTTAAAAAGGCAGTACATTGCAGAACCTCCACACTGTTTCTGCCATGAATCCCTAACAGTAGCCAAGAAGTGTTCATGATTAGTCCAGCAGTTGAAGAACTTAAAAGGCTTGGGTTTCCTAGCCATAGCAATCTTATGAGTCCACATCAGTCCAAGACAGTGATCTGAAACCCCCTGAGCTTTGAATTCCACAAAAGAATCTGGAAAATCAATAAGCCATTGATCATTGACTAAGATTCTATCAAGCTTCCTGACCAAATAAGAGCTTTCTTGTTTATTAGACCAGGTCAATAAGGGACCGAGAAAAGGGTGGTCCATGAGATCAAGCCTCTCCAAGCAATCCTGGAAATCCTTCATATCAGTAGTGCAATGAATACCTAAGATGTCAAAATCAGAGCTCTCCTCAGCCTTGGCAATGATGTTAAAATCCCCTCCAACCAACCAAGAGGATGAACCAACATCCTTCACAACAGTGCTCAAATGGTCCCATAAACCCCTTCTAACTACACCATTGTTACTGCCATAAACAACAGTAATAGCAATGCCATGACCAATAGCAGAAATAGTAATAGCTTGATCACAAAAGTTAAGTCTCCTAAACACCTTTAACTGTTTAAGGGAGTTGTTAATCCCCCTGACATTCCAGAAGCAGACAAGCATCACAAAGAGGAAGGAGGGGCAGTACAACTGCTAGTGCTCAAACCAACCACATTACATCTAGCTTTATCAAGATGATCTTTTTTTTTAGATTTCATTTCGTTGAGTAGCATAGCCACGCCCATAGAAGCTACACGAGTTTTCCTAGGACCATCAACCACAGTCTCCAATTTACTAGAGGAACCAACAATCTCTTTTTTCTCCCATTCGGCTTCTTCTTCAAAGAGTCTTGAAGAGATGGGAAATCCCCATTAGCAACTGCTTGAGAACAGTCAGTATCAGCAGTAAAATCAATCTGGACCACAGCAGCAGCAGGAACCTGAGAGTAACTGGTAGTAACAGGATCAATTGGAGGACAATCAAAGACAGCATCTCTAGGCACAGTGGACTCTTGCAACTCCTAGACAGTTGTAACTGTAGCCAAGCCGACTTGAAGGTCTATCCTCGAACCCTTAAAAGAATAATCACTGTCAAGAGGGAGGTTAGAGCTCATGTCCTTGGATGAGTTAGCATGATCGGGCAACCCCAAGGAAGCAGAGGCATCTTCTGGCAAAGGATTCATACTAACATTACTTTTCTTTTCCTCCAAACTTGCACTTCTTTATGTTTCTGAGCAGGAATTCTAGCCTCAGAACAAGCATGAATATTGTGCCCAAATGATTTACACTTATCACAATAATTAGGCATCCAAGGCACATACACCTTAATAGGGACAGAGGAACCATCCTTTAAAACAACATGGATAAAATCAGGAATAACAGATCCAACTTCCACTTCTACACAAACTTTAGCAAACTCCAGCCTCTCCCTAGAATCCGTTATAGAGTCCATGTACAAAGGACACCCCAAGGCACTAGAGATATAACTCAAACCCTTCTGAGAGTAGAGTTCTAAAGGAACATTGAAAAATTGAACCCAAATTGGCATAGAAGAAAGATCGAAGCTAAGCTTCTGCAAGCCAGACGTCCAGATCCTCAGTACTAATGGCTTGTTATAAACATGCCATGGTCCATTATCTAAGACCCAATCCCTCAACCCAGCATCAAGAAATGTAAACACAAAGAGATTAGGACCAGCAAGAGTGACCTTAACACGTGAAGAATTTCCCCAAATTGTTTCAATAATGCGCTGCATAGATTCTAAATTCGGGGCTGAGCCAATGAGCTGACCCACTAAAGCAAGGTTCCAATCAGCAATTCCTTCATCAATCACCTCAGTTGGGGGAACAACAGTAACCACTCCATCCCAAAGCTCATGGGGAAAGAAGTCAAGAGATTGCTCCTTCGAACCCACAAAGAGCTTCTTCCAGTCTAAATTCGAGGAGTCAGGATCCATACAATCAACAAGAAACCTAGATAAACTCCAGAAAGCAAAACCGAGAAGAAATCAGAAGCAAGGAAGGAAAAATGAGGGAACATTAGACCCGCTAACGTACGCCCAGAGAACCTCCATTGTTTTTCTATTCAAAAGCATATTATTTGTCACGTAATATTTTGTGAAATTATCGTATGATATCTTTAAGGGACAATTATAAATTTCACCACTCAACTTTATTTTAATCTTATTTTAATCACTAAAGTTTAAAAAAAATTAATTTACTCACTGAATTTTTTATTTATTCCTATGAAAAGTAAACAAAAAGTTTTCTCAAGGGTTTTGGGAGGTTTAAAGGCGAAGCTGCCTTCTTTCAACAGAGAAGACTTGGCGATTCACACAAACTCTTAACTCAGCAATTCGATCCGGTTCCAACTCACTGAATCCATCAATGTCGTCTCGAAATCCGGAAACCTCGGGTCCCCAAGCCCCAGCAGACCGTTCAGATCCTTCAACCCGAGACCACAACCTGGTTGACCCAGTGCCTGATCGACCCGACGGCGATTCATCGAATTCAGGAGGGGAAGGAGAAGAAGAAGAAGGAGGAGGAGAGTGTGGGTTTTGCTTGTTCATGAAAGCCGGAGGCTGCAAGGAGAGCTTCGTGGCTTGGGAAGATTGCGTTGACGAAGCCGAGAAGAACGGCGACGATATCGCCGCCAAATGCATGGAAGTAACAGCTGCTTTGAGGAAATGCATGGAGGATCACGCCGATTACTATGAGCCGATATTAAGAGCCGAGAAGGCTGCCCACGAAGAAGCCATTAGGGAGCTGGAAAAAGAAAAGGCAGCTAAAGAAGAATCCGACCAAAATTCGGAATCCAATAAGGATTTGGAGAAAAATTGAGGTGGCTGCTTTATTATATTCTTCCCTTTGTGGGATTTTGAGTTTTGAGTTTTTTTAGTGGTGAATTGGGCCATTTTTATGGCAAAGGATGGTACTTTTTCTTGGTCCTGGTTTATTTTTAAAAAAAGAATGCTGAGATAGAGGAAAGGTTGAAAATTCATGAGAAATGTAAAATAATGACGGTGATTAGTTCACGAAAACAAACATTTTTGTCGACGAATAATCTTTGCTTGTTTAGATTAGTTTTAACACAGCTAGTAGTACTTTAGACATGATTGATTTATGTGACTTAGTAACTTTGAATTTCTAATGTTAGAAATGATCTTTGAGGTTTCTGATTATTCACTATCTGATCCAGTTTTGCACTCTGAATTGCTTGAAAGACTGATCTTTCTACATGTTTTCGGTAGCCAATGGCTCATTTATTGCTTTCGAAGAACACTGAGGCCTTATTAATTTTAGTCACTGGTTGATTCAAGTTTTGACCCTGAATTGTTTGAAAGAACAATCTTTGAACATGCTCTGATTAGCCAATTACTCTTAAATAGCGACCTTATTGATTTAAATCATTGGCTGATTCAAGTTCTGACCCTGAATTGTTCCTAAAGGCAATTTTTCTACATGCTCTGGTTAGCCAATGGCTCTTAAATAGCTTTCCCGGAACAATACTGGCCTTATCCGTGTTGATTTTAGTTACTGGTTGATGCGTGTTTTGACCCTGAATTGTTTGAAACAACCATCTTTCTTCATGCTCCGGGTAGGCAATGACCCCTATCAACTATAAGGTACGTGTTTTATTCCATTCTTCAGTTGAAAAATAGTTTATGAGCCTGATTTTAATCCACCTTCCAAGAACTGACTGAGCAAGTGTTTTGAAGGTTACGAGGAAATGATTCCGTTTGTCTTGTTTATTCGAAGGCATTCTAAATCAAGTTTAGCTTGTTGCAGCACTTAAATCTTCACCTGTTTCATTCTGCTCTCTGTCTGCAACACAGAGAGACCCACGGTGTGCTCATATGGTAGGTTTTATGTTTCCTTCAATTGTTTTATTGATTGGATAAGCCTGTGATCGAACGTGTGTGAATCCGAGTATGATGCACAAAGCCCTAAAGGGGCCATGGTTGATAATGGGATCTTTCCCAAGCAAGGTGATTTTTCAAAGCTCGACCATTGGACTCGAATCTACAACCTGCCTTTGCTAATGATGACAAGGCAGATGCTAAGAGGATATGGTTGAAGTAGAAGATCAGGTAATGTATGGTTGCAGCCAGCAGTATATGATGATAATGGCCGCTATTAGTATGAATACGCCACTTCTTGTCGGTATGCGGATCTCAAATATGAAAAGCACTGTCTTCTATTATATGTGGAATGTTAGTTCATAGTAATTTATGGTATGGCTGTAAAGGTGGAGGTGGAACAACTAGTTCAGTTCTCGCGGGGTTCTTCTATAGTGTCGCCAAGAATCCGTCCTTTGAAGCTAAAGTCAGAGATGAAATATCCGAAAGTAGCCCTTAAGAGTTTGAATAAACCAGTTTATTGACATGAAGCATTATGCGAATAATGTTGTGCCTGTAGAACAGCTGTTGAAGCCGATACACTTCCAAGTGGTCACAGAATCAATCGTGACACGAATGTCGTGATCGCAGTACATGTGATGGGAAGGATGAGATCGGTTTGGGGAGATGATTGCCGTGAGTTTCGGCCAGAGAGATGGATCACTGAGACTGGAGAGATCAAATGCGTGCCGCATTACCAGTTCTGATATTCAGAACGGGGCCAACGGTTTGTCTATTGAAGGAATTAGCTTTTACTACGACGAAGGCGACTGCGGCAACGGTGATCTATAACTACAACATAGCCCTGCTGAGCCCAAGAATAGCGTTGTTTTCCACATGAAGCGTGGACTCACACGGCTAGGATCAATAAAAGATGAACTCATGATTAGATAAAACCAGTAACAAATTTCAACTGATAAAAAAGTTCTTTAATAAAAAATTAAAATAAGTAAAAAGGCAAATCCTTTGATAGATTAATATTACGAAGTGTAAACTATGCATATAGTCCATTATATTTAAGGTTTGAACGACTTTGGTCATCAATTTAAAAATTAAGGAGAAATAGTCTCCAATTTTATCGATCCGTTTGATTTTAGTCCCTTAGCCATTAATTTCCATTAACCCGCTTTTGTTTAAGTCTCGATTGTTTAAGTTCCTAGCATGGTTGAGGGACTAAAATCGAGTGAGAGTTAACGATTGAGAGATTAAAATCTAACGAATCAATAATGTTAGGGATTAAAATCGAACGAATCGATAACGTTAGAGACCGTTTCCCTTAAATTTTTAAATTGGTGACCAAAGTCATCAAACTGAAAATATAGGGACTATCTACATAATTTACCTTATTACAAATATGATTAAAAAATCACTATGTGACACTGTTAAATAATTGAGAATTTTTAGAACATATATTATTTTATAAGTATCTTATTTAATTAAAAAAATCATTATATATCATTGATTATTACTTAAATAATAATAATTAATCAATAATAATAATAATAAAATCATTATGTATCATTGATTGTAATTTAAATAATAATAATAATAATAATAATAATAATAATGATGATGATTACATAAAGCATATAACTATCTTTTAATCTGGTTTATGAGTAAAAATTCTATGATCAATGTATTATAATTTTTAAAATAAATTAAATAAAAATATTATTATTAATAATAATTTAAATATATCAGAGTCTTTATACATTTTGAAATATTAACTTCATGTTTTAATTTTATTATATCCAATCTATATTATTTTTAATAAAAAAATTAATTTGTTTTTATTTAATTTAATGATTAATTATTGATATGATAGATTAAAAAATAAAATAAAATAATGAAAAAATGTTTGAATTGCGGAAAAGTGGTTTTTACTGACAAGACAGCGAAGCGGTCTGGGACTTTTAGGAAAAAGATAAGCCTAAGCGAATCTAAAAGTATTCAAAGTTTACGTGTTTCTTCCAATCCTATCCCTCCACGTAGCCTTTTTAACTTTGACTTAAGTTTTATTTTTTCCGATCTCTTTCTATTATTCTTTTTGCAGCCACTGATTTGCTTTCTCCGTTTGTTGAATCGAAGTTCCGCCGATGACCATGATTCTCCGATCGGCTCTGGTCCTGGTTCTGTTGGTCGGTATTTTGTCCCCTGCGTCGGAATCTTTACGGTTCGAGCTGCAATCGGGTCAAACCAAATGCATATCGGAAGACATGAAAAGCAATTCAATGACAGTCGGGAAGTACCACGTTGTTAAACCCAATGAAGATCACCCTTTGCCTGATTCTCACAAGCTCACCGTCAAGGTATTTAAAAAAAACAATCTTCTTTTATTTTCTGCTTTGAGTTTTGAGGGCAATAATGAAGGTTTAGCTGTAAAATTATTTGTTGTAGGTAACGTCGTCGTATGGGAACAATTATCACTCGGCGGAGAAGGTGGAGAGTGGACAGTTTGCATTCACGGCGGCGGAGCAAGGAGACTACATGGCTTGCTTTTGGGTGCCGGAGCATTCGCCGCAGATCACGGTGACCGTTGATTTTGATTGGAGGACTGGCGTCCACGCTAAGGATTGGACTAACGTTGCCAAGAAAGGCCAAGTCGATGTAAGTATTTCAATCCCTTCATCAAATGAAAAATTAATCCAATTTGCTTCATTAATTTGTTGTTTTTAGTTTAGGGTTTAACTTAAGATCATATGGCTGAAAAACACGGTTGAAAGTGAAGAGATTTTGGTTGCTAGTTGTAGTTCTAAGTGTTAAAAACTAAGTAGGTTTCTTCTGATTGTCATCAGATTCACCTTCGTGAACTGAACCACTCAATCACTCATGGTACTAAATTGAGGTTGCAGTGTTTGTTGCGGATACGCTTGCGAACATTCTGTAACGTATGGTGGTTGGTGCTGACATGATTTGTTTCACAAAACTCGCAATGTTTGTAAATCACTGTGTCGCAGTGACCTTGGAAACTGTTATGATGTGGCCGTTACTATTCGTTGCGGCTGCAATTTAGTATTATGGAACTACTCGAAACATGACTTTAACCTGAGTTGCTCAAGCTAAAGGATCTCGCTGTAGTATTTTATGGAAAATTACTGCTTTTGCTCTGTGGTCAAGGTTTGTTATCTTCGATATTTCATCATATAATCGATCTTCACTTAGCATTAGATGCTGGACCAGGTCTATCTCTATGCTGTTTATGAGATTTTCACTGTTTTGGCTTAATCTTTGGAGATATGGATAGGGTTCTGTAAAGTAGATGCACACAATACATGTTCATATTCACACAATCTCTTATGTCAGTGGTGTTTCCCGAAAAGATTTTCCGCATAAAACCTTGGTGTTATTTCATTGTGCGATCATTATGCTTACCGTTATCGTTTAGCAATTAGGCATGCTAGAGTTTTTTGTGTTCCTATTGCTTTCGAATCTCTAAGAGTACCCTTCATTGGGAAATAAACCTACTTTGATGCTCACCAGGCAATGGAACTGGAGCTGAAGAATCTGTATGATACTGTTCAATCCATTCACGAGGAAATGTTTTATTTGCGGGAAAGGTAAGGAAAGCATCTTATCAGTTGTTGCAACATAGTTCTTCCTCTTGAAGAAATCTTATTTCTGCATATGATTGTTGATTTCCAGAGAAGAAGAAATGCAGGAGCTGAACAAAGCTACGACCTCCAAAATGTTCTGGCTGTCGTTCCTCTCGCTGTTTCTTTGCCTATCCGTAGCCGGATTACAGTTTTGGCACTTGAAATCCTTCTTCGAGAAGAAGAAACTCATTTAAGTTTGCAAGACTATAGATTTCCACTTCTTATGTTGTACTCGTGCAAGATATTTTCAGATAGATCTTTGTTAAATGTGCCTTACTTTTAATAATGGATGAAGTTTGGGGAGGGAGTGAGGTAGTGGGATACGAAATGGCAAGCTTTACTAGTTGTTCTTGCTACATATGTATTCATGCTCTTGATTTTCAATGAAATATTTATGTCTAACATGTACTCGAACATGCTCGAAATCGGGTATGAAAATATGATCTTGTAAATATATGAAAAATATGGGGATGTATACTGATATCCAACACTCATCCCTTGCAGCGGATGACTTGGATAGAGGAAACCCAGTCATGCAAAAATCTATCACAATATATACTTACCGAGTCTATTTACGCATACCATCCATCCATACAAATGGGCAAGCCGGAGGTGATCAGTGGAAACGGAATGTTCATCGTTGATTTCATCGGGTCTTGAATGTTATGTATTGAATATATGCCAATGATGATTTGTGGGTACATTTTTCCTAGATCTTTTCAAGCCTCTTGAGAATATCCAAGAAAGAAGGTCTTTGGTTCATGTCAGCGGCCCAACATTTTTCTGTTAAGCTAAGAAAAAATTCAACAAAAAAACAATCAGCAATTCCACTTGTCCAGGCGCAGTACTTTAATTGTTTGTCAAGTAACTTTATTAGAGTTAATTACTAAACATCATATCTGCAGCATTTAAGGTGAAAAATATGCAAAATCTTTATGCAGCTATGGTAGTTTGTAAAATCTACTTATGATTATCAAAGACAAGTTAAGGTTAGATAATGTATTCGGCGAAGCACATACCAAGGAAATTTCGATCAAAGTAGAAAAAGTTTAAGAGATGGCTTACTCTCTCAGTTCAGGGATGTATGATTTTGAACGAAAAGGAGGTCGGTGTCCTGCTGCAGCATACTTGGCTGCTTCATAAGGGTCATAATTGGAGAATGGTGGATCTCCTTCAAGCATCTGCTACAAGTAACATCATAAGTTAGAACTAGTCTCAAATGGTATATGGTCAAATATCATCTCCAGGGAGGAAGAAGATTACCTCATAAAGTATCATCGCGAAAGAGAAAACATCGACCTTTTTATCATATTTCCGGTGTTTGAAAACTTCAGGAGCCATGTAACGATCTATTCAAATAAAAGTAAAGAACCTGAGAATCCGAGGATCATAACTTATCCAAAGGATATCTAAAGCGGCACTTACAACTCCCTGTTTCGCCGGTCATCTTGTAGACATCATGACAGTTTTGAACCTTGATGAGCTTGCTTAGGCCAAAGTCTCCTACTTTCAAATGCTCAGCACTTGGGTTGACCAAAAGCACATTCCTAAAGTACAAGAAATGAATTTTATAACACGAAAAACTCCATGCGATTCAAAAATTTCAACCATGGGTGAAAAGGGGAAGGAATCATAGGAAATGGATAAAGTTTTTTGTTTTCGGAAGAAGGCCTAGTTCATTAAACATTCCAAGTTTAAAAGGAAATTTCCACCACATAAACCCGCTGTCAATAAAATGCATAGAGCCCTGAACTAACACCTAGTAGAAGAAAAACGGGACTACTTGCACGGCAAAACTGAAATAGAAATTGACTTGCCTTGGTTTTAGATCTCGATGAATTATGACATTTGGCTCATTGTGAAGATAAGCCATACCCTACCCACAATTTATAGAATTCATATTAGCAAAATAGTCATACAGATGGGAGAAAATCAAATGCAATCACACAGCAAATGCATATTATGCAGTCGAAAGGAAGTGAAGTTAAAATCGAATGAAAAATAATGATTTTATCCTTCTTGGAAAACAAGGAAATGTGATTTATCGTATAGTTTTATGCTATATTACTCAGATTCAGGTGTGAGTGTTAAATATAAGAATGTATCTGATATGAGTATAAACACGTCCTCGTATCCTTGTGCCGAATATGAGCGTCCGAGCAATTTAGGTTCCACATTTTCTCGCTCTTTTACTCCAAGTTTTACTTGGACGCAAAAGCAGGATACATTGACATAGGGCTGCACCTACTATACAACTTCAGATAGAAGCATTCTTGTATACCTTGCAATGTCCAATGCAAAGTTGGTAGCTGTTGATGCACTAAGAGCACCCTTTTCCTTGAGATGCCGGTGAAGATCACCCTTTAATTACACATAATGATAACATAAAAAGGGTAATTAAAGTAAAATTTAAGTTTCAAAATAGAATAATCTACAGAGAGATTGAATTGAGAAACATATAGCTATTCATATACCCCTCTTAAATACTCAGTGATCAACATAAGAGGCTTCTTGTCAGTGACAGCTCCAAGGAATTGAACTACATTAGGATGGCGGAGCTTTACAAGAACCTTCACTTCATGCCGGAAATCTTGACTGAACCAACAGAGAAGAAAACACAGAGAATTGCATTCTTCAGTAAAAATTCAGGGTAGATAGGAAATCAATCACGATACTATGAGCATCAGATTAACCCGAAAAAATGTGGATGTGACTTTCAAAACTTGAAGCTAATTACTGTCATTATAGAAAATGTTTCATGTCTTTTTCGGTGAATATAAGTCAGTTCATCTTTCCTTTGGTTGCTTTTTCATTGTCAATGAGAACATAATTTTCACTTTTCCAGCATAGGGCATAAATCAAAGAAAACAATTTCATGGGGAAAGAGCTTGGGAAGTGAAGAACAGAGAAAATCATAAAATGGCGGGCTTACATAACAAGTTTATCATCTGAAAGTGATGGAAGAATGCGTTTGACAGCTACAGGAGTTCCTCGCCAACTGGCCTTTAAAATCTCACCAAACGACCCCTGGAAGAAAGGGATATAGTCAGCAAAAGCAAATATTCCAGATCAAATAAGGAGAATAATCCAGGTACTTGCAAGCTGACTTGCTGACAATCAGAAATTTAGCAGCTTATATAAGAACTCAAGTTCCAAACAGACAAATAATTTACACATAAAAGGAACGCACCAATAATTTAAAGAAGTTTGATAGGTAGTTCAAACTTATATTATCCAAAAGAAACATTCCTTGCATATGAGCATATAAAAACTTTCTAATAAGAAGAAAAGGGAGCCATGCACGACAAGCAAGCTCTGCTCTGCAAGTTAACAATATCAAGAAATTGAAATCACACCTTTCCTATGATATTTGAACTAGAGAAGTCCAGCTCAGAAGGATCAATTTCCCAATCACACTTGTTTGGTAGAGGGGGCAGGACTGGCTTTGGTTCAAAATGGCTTCCACTTTGGCCCTGCAACAATTAAAAGTTTAACTTTTAGCTCACAAAATCAGTTAAAATGCTAAACAAACGAGCTCTAAATTTTAATAATGTTTCCCTTTAGTAAACATTTCTAACTAGCTCCAAAATGAATCAGATCACAAGAGATAATTCACAAGCATTATTAAGAGCCGAAAACAGAGTGCATATCCCGCCATTAATCGTCCATCATACTCGACAAAAAAAAGCAAAGCAAAATTTGAACTTACGTAAGATAATCCACCATATGATTTTAACAGCTCGATCATGGTATGTTTCTTAGCTCCTTCTGCATCGGCTAAAGGCTATCGTCACCAAACAAACAATAAATCCAACAAACTTCAGGTAAAATCCAGAAATAAAAGATATGTAGAAAGAGTTAAATGATTAGATAAATAGAAACAAGGACTTTAAAGTGGCACCGTATTCTTCCAGCGATCTTGAGTGTTGACATCGGCGCCAGATTCAAGGAGGCACTTGGCGATGTCGATCCATCCGTGGAGTGAAGCAACATGGAGAGGCGTACGGTTGTCGTAATCCCTAGCGTGGACCAAAGAGCCGTCTTCCTCTAGAAGCTTACGGACAGCACCGATGTCGTTTTGATGAGCATGCCATAAGATCATCGAAGTCCGGCTCACTCTCGCCTTCTCTCTTTTTTCTTATCTGTCGACGATGTCGAGCTCGCTTTCTCGCTCGTTCCACGCGCCGTCGAATTTCCGCCGGATGTGCCCGAGCTCATGGCCAACGATTTATCCAAATAATCGCAAAAATGGTTTATATGGTTTATATTTTCTGGTATAGCTTGGGGGGAAATTCGTTGGAATACAGAGGTCAATGTAAATAAATAAACAAAAATAGAAATGTTTCTATTTTTTAGTTTCCGTACTAAAAATAGAAGCTGCGCTTTATTATAAAATATTCCTTAAAATATAATCTTATTTTTTTTAATTATTTTTTAATTTTTAAAATTTTGTCGCATCATATTCTTAATTATTTCATGTAATAATTTTTAATGTTATTAATATCACGTCATGTGCAAAAAAAAATTAAATGAAATAAAAGTGATCATGTAAAAAATCACAAAGTTAGGCCTAATTTTATAAAATAAGCACTCAAACTATATCGTTTATCTTAAAAAGGTGTTCAAGTTTTTTTTAATCACGTTATCATTTTAGGTGATTGAAACGTAACAGTTGTTAATAAATCATGTTAAATGACACGTGTCACATTCTAGTAATTTTAAAAAAAACAAAAATATTATATTTATAAAAAACTACTTTTTCTAAAATTACAAAAAAAATCCCTAACCCTAACCTCCTTTACCGACCACGGACCACCGTCCTTTCCATCTCCATGATCTGTCGTCGTACGCGTCGTTCGATTGTTTAGGTGCCACGAATTTGAGGGTTTGAGTTCGTTGAAGATGCGATTTTGCCATTTCCTTCGTCCTAGTGTGGAGAGTTCTGGTAGAGGTTTGATTGGCGTCAAATGGTGACAACCGGCATGGGTCTAGAGATTGAAATTGGAAATTTCAAAGATATGAGGTTTTTTTTTTAAATCTTTCAAAATTTTTGAGTTTCTTTAAAATATATAATTTTATTTTTTAACTTTTAACAGTCGAGTAATTATTTTTTAACATTTAATAGTTAGATGACTCAATAAAATAATATTTTATAGTCGAATGACCATTAGTATGCTTTACAATATATATTGATACATACACAAACTTGAAAAAAAATCGACATTCATGTCCTACACATTGGATATGGAGATGGTGGATATTACCTCTAAAGATGCATCAAATACATAGACAACTTAAAAAGAAATTAATCATATTCGTATCGGATGCATACTCATAACTGATATTCATATAATGATCGGTTCAAATGTGTTCAATATATATGTGTATCTTCAAAGTCGAAACTTAAAAAAATACTGCAAGCTCTTCTTTGGTCACTATTTATTAAGGATTTGAAAGAATATGAAAGCAAGTAGGACGGGAAAAGGAACCTGGAAAAGGTCCAACAACTTGATATGGAACCATATAAATAAAGAAAATCTAACATCAATTGATGAATAGTTACTGTGCATTTATATTGAATCAAATTATTTGTATCATCTTCCATGGATCACAAGAAATTCTATGCACCTGAACCATGTATGTGGTTGGAGGATCATCTTTAGCATATCATGAGCAGCAAAGCCCTTCTTGCTGGAGTTTTAATGAAACAACAACAAAATAATCTTCATCGGTGCTCCGAGTATGCTGTATTTTTGTCAGGAACTCAAAAATATTAGCCGATAACTATGGACATAATGATGCCATTGAACACCGAACAATCCAGCGGAGGCGGTTATGGTGTTTCCAACATGGATTGACACTCGCCGTCCGAGTTTTCCATAGTGTGAGATCTGCAACTGAAGTAGAAGACTGTGCTCATCATGGAGTCGACAAGCACGACGAACGAATACATTATGACCAACAGTGGCCCTTCCCAGATCCTAGAAGACCCACCTCCATAACTCGATGCCTTAACCCTATGTTCAAACAGCCCTTCCACAACTGCTAAACCAATTGTCGATCCAAGAAATATCAAAAGACGAACTTGAGTCTGCCCTTTGATTAGAATACCGGCCCGAAGCATTGCCTGCGGTCCCGAAACTTCTTCCAACACACAGATTACGATTCCGATATTGCAGACAGCGATTGCATACGCAAAAACGATCGAGAACACTAGTCCCATCAGTATCACCGCATACACAATTAAATCAGGTGTAAAGCCAAGAACAGAAAGTAAGCTGCATGCAGCAACAAGGAAAACAAAGAAAGTTGTCACACAAGCAACTATAACCACACACATCCACACATATGTGAAAACTAGCCGCCTCCAGAACTTCCGAATTATCCCGAAAAACTTCAAAGCATCGGCTGATTTCCTCGAATAAGTACAGTCTACACAATAAACCACTGCGGCCTTCGATAACAAACACAATGTAATGAACAAAGGGAAGCACATTGCCGATGAAACAGCCGACTCGGCGAACCTATGAGATGACTGTCTGATAAAAGGCCTCAATGGGAGTCCACAGGTTTTGGCAACTAACAAAAGCCTAACAGTTAATCTCTTCACAATGGAATGATCAACTAACAAATTAGACATAAAGACCGCAGATACTGGGCAAATTAACAAAGCTGCAATGATCATAAAACCGGGCAAATTGTACCGTAATATCCTAACAGTTTCTCTTCAGATCTCTAAGGCATTCATCGAATGAAATTGGTGGCTACCATCACTAATATCATGGGATGATTCTAGCTCAAAATTTTCTTCATGGGTTCCCTTAAATCCTTCTTTGTCTAAATGATCCGATCTCATTCGAACGCTAAAAGTTTCCATTTTAATTAAAACCCAGAAAAGATATCGAACCCAGCAGCTAAATAAACATTGGGAATTATAGAAAACCAAAGATCTGAAAAGACCAACCGTTGTAATCCCTGAGGAGACACGAGGAAAACACAGTGGAAAGACTGAAATAAGGGATCGAAAGTGAAAAGGGCAAGAAGATTGTGGGGTTGGAGGGAAATTCTCGAGTGTTAAATAAAGGTCTTATGGAAGAATAAGAAGATATGATATAAAACGAACGAATTTGGATTCTATAGCTTTATAGTTGCCATTTCTCGAGGTGTTGAAATGCCATGGTGTCGGCGTTCGTGACTCTGTAGCAGATTGAAACTGGGCTCTTTTGGGAGATTGAAAGTGTTTGCCAGATTGGAATTTAGGGTAAAAATCCATTTAAAAACTGGGCTTTTGATAAAATAAAATAAATATTAGTCCTTTAATATTTTCTAAATTATCGAATTAAATTAAATATTAAAAATTTTAAATTTTTTAATTATTCATTAATATATTTTCTATTTTTTACGTATAATCATTCGTAAAGAAATTTAAAAATTAAAGTTAATTTTTAAATCTAATATATTTTACTTCAATGACATTGTTAAATTTATTAATTAAATTGATATCATGAATTAATCGAACATCAATTCAATAATTCAGTTGAGACATAATGAAAACAACCTTAAAACACAATTTTAATATATACAAATAAAGTAAGATTCTGAACTGATTTTATCTTATAATTAATTTAGATAAAATAAGATTTTTTTTTGGATAAATAAATTTCATTTTAGATCCAAAGATAACAACAACTGCTGCAACAAAAACAACATATCAAAGAATACAGTCCCTCCAACTATACATCAACAACCAATAAACCAATGCTAACCCAATAAAACAACAAGCGAAAAAAACTAGCAGTCATCAATCAATTAAACTACAATCTCCCAAGCACTGCAGAGCTGCACATTCACCATATCCTGCAAATCAATATCGCACCCTTGCAATCTAGCACAAACAATCATTTAATATTTTCACACACAACATCTGGTCCATGAGGACTCCTACTGAACTGCTTACAGTTACGCTCCTGCCAAAATACAATACAAAAATCATGTCCAAGCTATTTTCATGATGCACACGACCAAGGATTTCCCTTTTAAACAGCCAACCACCCAATCTGGTTATGAATGGAAAAGGCATAGTTTTTAATAGTGGGGTACTTGACCCTTAAACCATCTTCAGCTTTCAAACAACAAATCTGGTTCTAATTAATTCTAGCACCGTTAGCAGAGGTATCATCCCCTTCTAAAAGAATCGCATACATAGTTGCTCAATTCTTCGAATAACACCTTTGGGAAGAATCGATTACCTACACAAAAAATTGGCAATACTCAGCAACACAGCTGTAATCACCTTTTTTGTCCTACCAGCACAGCAACACCATCCCCTACTGTTGCTGCCACCACCAACTGCACCATGCTGCCCATGCCCTACTACACCACCAAGCCTCACCCATGCTCAGCATGTCACCAAACAAGAAAGTAATAAATTTTTTTGTCATGTAATAGGGGTTATAAAAACCCCAAATCATATTGTAAAAGGAGGCTCCTCTCCCTATTTTTTTTTTAAGAAATCAATACAACATTCAAAGGTTAATTTTTTATGTTTTTTTTTATTTTTGAATAAAAAAATAAAGAGGTGAAGAAATAATTGAAGGGTCGTATACCTGGGTTCTAGGTCGCCGGTGAGTCGTGGTAGTGTCAAATGGCGTAGATGGCCGGTTTTGGGGCGGTATGGTTCTCGGTTGAGTGATAAAGAAGAAAGAGGGGGCTAGTTGGGGTCTCGGTTTGGCCTTGATTAGGGCTGGTTCAGTTCTTCGGCCGGTTCAGAGCAGCCAATCGGAGCGAGGAGTCCACCGTGGGGCGGTGGCCGGTGCGTTTAGCCTTGGCTTGAGAGTGGTCGGCCGCCTCACGTTTGGGGTAGAGGGGAGAGTTGGGAATAAAGCTTTTTTTTTCTTTTTAATTAGGGTTAAAAATGAATTAAAACAAAAAGGTTTATGTTATATTAGGATTTAAGGGTTAATTATTATTTAGTCCCCAAACTTTGGGAATCGTTTTGCACTTCAGTCACCAGGTTAGGGAAAATCACTCTATAGTCCTCCTAGGTTTGCTGTGAATATGCACATTAGTCACCAATTTTTTATTATTTTGATTTTTTCATATCATTTCATTTTTATATTTTGGTCACTTTTTGCATTTTATTTATGTTGATTTAGCTACTGATTTTATCCTTTATTGCATTATGGTCCCATGTTTGTTTTTATATTCGAATTTGATATTGTTTCATTTTATTTTTATTTAATCACTTATTGATTTTTTTCTTATTATTTTTGATTTGATTTATTGTATTTTATTTATTTTATTTCAGTCCCTATAATTTAATTCGTGCATAGTTAGGTTTTGTTTCCTTTCATTTTACACGAATGGACATTTTATTTTTGTTAGTGTTATTTTTGTATGTATATATTATACCATGTTATAGATATATATGTGTATATTTATCTAATATTCTCAACCCTTGTATATATGTGGTAGTACTATATTTTATTTTATCTGATATATTTTATATTAATAAAATATGCACTAGACAATATATTTTTATATTTTATCTGAAGATTTTCAAGAACATTATATCGTAGAATGGGCGCGAAAAGCACAGCTTGATCGAAGTAGTGAGATTTGATATGATATTCAATTGAAAATGAATTTGAAATAAATTGAGTTTATTTTTATAAATAATTAATTCGTTTTTAATTTAATTTAAATAATAGCAATGCATGTTTCTTTAAATAGTAAGTTATTTTTTGATATTATTGATATTCATTTTATATTCGATTTATGCTAACTTTGGGGAGGGGTACATTTCTTGTATAAAGGAGAAATAGATAAGACAATCTTCCCATTGGAGGATGTGTAAATTTCGTGATTTCTTCTCAAATTAAAGAATGTTTCCTAATAATTAATTTGAAATAAATTAATAAATTTTCAAAAAAAATATCACATTTTAAATATTGATTTGAAATTTTAAATTCCACTATTACGACAATGTATACGCGATTAAATATCAATTCTGAATATTGTGGGGTGTTTACCAATCGACTCATAAACCTAAAAGGAATTTTTGACAAGCGTATATCAGTTTTTTTTCTTAAAATTGTTTAAAAGACGTTTTTAGGTGTTCGACCTATCTAACCCAAAGGTCGATATTGACTCCAAATCAATTTAATCAAAATAAACACAAAAATGCAATTTCCCCCAAATAAGTTGTAATTTAGGGTTTTTATCGAAAACCTATTCGTTCGTCAAAAAAGATGTTACAATAACTTGGTGACTCCGCTCGGGACACTTTAGAAAGTCATGCTGTAAGTCGCTTATACATCGTCATAGTGGTGGAAATTACGAGTTCGAGTCTATAGTTAAATTATGATTTTTTATTGAATTTTGCATTATTTCTTTATGTAAATAGTTTTACCAATGTTCAAATTCATGTTTTCAGCTTCACCAAAAATTCTCTCGAAAATACTCATTTTATTTTTATTTTTGTTGTTGTTTTGTTTGGTCGAAGTTTTGTGTGTTCCTCCTCACACACCTCACGTTCATTTGTATGACATAAGCTCTATACCTGAGCTTCATCCCAAGTAAGGGTGAACACTTTGCTATCGTAAGAATTTATTCTTCGTATGAGCTTTAGCAAATAACCTATGGGGTACACATACCTTATAACTTTGTAGGGATTCATTCCTCGTATGGGTATAGGGAAGTGAATCCCATCGAATTGAACTCGATCCATTTAAGCCTATGATGGGTGAGGATTGAGGGTTTGACAGCCCAAGGGGGCACCAACAACAAGGATAATTTGAGTACATTTCTATGTTAGAGCCGAAACCATACATATAGTGAACCATAGAGTGGTCACCCTAAGTAGAGTCATACAGAACCTCTGTCCGTTAATAGGCACCAAAATAAGTGTACACGAAAGAGGAACGACTCTAAACCTTTACATTTAGCTTTAAATTCATAGAATAGATTTCTTTTAAAAGCTATGAGTTAGATATCATGCGAATAGGATTAATTTCTTGAAGTAAATCATTTTGTGTAAAAAGTGTGTCCATGTATGATTGTTATTTAATAAAACATATTTGGGTAGGTATCATGACTAGGTAGTGTTAATTTATCTTTAAATAACATCTTTTGAATATATTGATTATCTTGTCTGTACTAACTCATTTTTTTTCATTTATCGCCTTTTTTGCATTGCATCTTCATGACATAATAGAAATGTGTTGATCCGCAATTAACTATCGAATAGAAATGTTTCATAAAAAGGAGAAAAAATTTCAATAAAATAGTCGCATATACAGACGTGCACTGATGGCTAAAGGTAGTCCAAAGAGAACAAAAATAAAGCATCAACCTACTTTAGACCAAGAGAGAGCATGTATGTAAAGATGGACTATATTGTAATAGTGAAGACTTTTGTTTCTAATAAAACTTGTTCTATGATATTCATCTTTGGGGCCAACACTTTTTGCATTCGCATCTTTGAATATTTATGTTTGCATTTGCATTTGCATTATGCACTCGCATTTTGTTTGTTTCAAATCTTTTCTACATATATACAATCATGAAAATTTGGGAGTAATTCATGGAGTATTTCATGACAGAAATTCTAAAAAACAAATTGGAGTCAACTTGGTATTCCTAGAGAAATATAAGAGCCATGAATGAGATCTTAGCACGTGCTGAAAGAATCGAGAAACTCCAAGAATAGCTTGTTAGAACTCAGCAAGAAATGACTGGTCAAGCAAGGAAATTACAAGATGAGTCAAGAAAACAAATGTCTAAATTGATGCATATGATGACTATTTTGATCTATGGAGAGAAGCCACCAGAGGATCATGTTGTAGAGGCTTTCAATAAGACTCTAAAGGATAGTGGTGTGGATAATGCGGCTCTAACACATGATCAAGGATTTTTTTAAAGAACATCATAACTCGAGCCATTTCTAAAAATCTGATATGGTCCCAGAAGGCTCCGTTGAATTAATAATAAGGGATAGACATCACTCGAGGAAAAGGGGGATAGAAGAAGCTCGAATACCGATTAAGAAAGCCAAAAACTGTCAGACTCTTCCACAATGGCCTCCGAAAGAGAAATGAACTTATAAGGAGATTTATTGGATGAATCAGACTGAAACCTCAGAATGTTGAGTTAAGGTTTCTAGTAATCTTGAAGGAAAATTTCAAGATCCTCTTGAGCAAGAAATTAAGAGATCCAAGATAGAGAAGCAAAGGTCTAATTCAATGCCCAAAATTTCTTTCTCAACAGAGATTAATGTAGTCAAGTCCTGTAAAGACTACATGGTGCACGAGAAGGACAAAGGAAATTCAAGCAAGAAGGTTTCATTGGATGTAATCCGAGACTGGCCCGTAGGATTAAGAACGATTTGGTCAGATGAAATTTTCAAAGCATATCCGACGCCTATATCATATTTTCTTATGGAAAGTGGGGCATTAGACATTTCAAAGAGTCTGACAAATACTCCAACAATAACTGCAATAATTGTTGCTCAAAACCCAACCAAGACCATCATCCTTAAAGAAAATCATTTTGGATCCAAATTCGGGCCACATTTCCAACCATGGAACAAGGAGATGAAGAAGCAAGAAAAAGCGAAAGAGGTCAGTCTAAAAGAATATGATAGTATTTTGGGTCATATGAAGAATGCTTTCCAGTTTGAAAATGTTAATGATAAACTATAGTTGGTGAAAACAACTGATAAAGAAAAACACATGAAAGATCAAGAGTTGTATGTTAGCGAGAGGCCTAAAGATGTTGAGGTTGGAAAATTCGCACTGAAATATGACTATGTTTCCCTAAAGAATAACTGAACAAGTGGACTACAAAGGATCTCATTAGAGTTTTTAGATGAAATTTAGAGTAATACTCAGAATTAACCCTTATGTTTTTACCCGCGAGCATTAAGGAATCTTTTGTAAAGGGCTTCTATGTTAATTGTACTTTTTATGCAATTGAAAATGATTTCCTTCATTTCTCAAGTGGAAATCATTTTATACATTTTCATATTCTTTATCATTCTTTACATTATTGTATTTCATTTTTGACATTTTTTATTATTTCATTCATTTCATACAAATGTCTATTACTCTTCCAAATTTATATATTCGTTCAAAATTTTCTTTTTCAGGTGCCCTAATCATTAATATCATGATGTTTCTGAACTTTAATCATGAGGTAAATTTCGATCGGCATGTGTTTAGTAGAAATCTATGAGTGCAAAAGTGAGGTAGAATGTGATGTTTCTAACAAATTATTGAGGTTGGTGAAAAAGGAGGGTGAACATATCTTATCTCACCATGAAGAAATCAAGATTTTGAATGAATGAATGAATAAAGAAGAGAGATAGAGATAGACACTACTTTGTGACATGAAATGAGACAAAAGATGATAGAGTTGATTTAAGATTTAAAAGCATCTTTTCTTGATCTTATCAAAACATGTCAATATTGAATACAAATGTAATAGTGACACAAGTTCTTGATAGCGTAAACGTCTTTGAAAATTCTTTGAGATGTGTGCCAGGGCTGCATAATGAGTCTGAGAAGAAGAAAAAAACTATCTATTATCTTAGCAAGGAGCTCATTGATTGCTAGATCCAATACCTGTCAATCTATTAGGCATGATGTGCTTTGGTAGGGGATACTTGAATACTTAGGCATTACATGTTATATCCAGACTTGATCTTCTAAAGTGTTTAACACAATCACTAGCATTAACTAGATGAATGACTCAATAACAATAGTTTTTATCAGAATATGACATTGTGTATGCGAGCTAAAAGACGATCGAAATGAGTGCCATAGTAGATTCTCTAGCAAGACGGGCATTAGATGATTATGATTCCTTGGGTTTTAATTTTCTAGATGAGGAT